ACAATTTGATAAGTACAAAAACATCATAAAACTTTAAGCAATCTTTAGATATTAAAGGATGTTTTAGAAAGAACCCATTGGAATGATAAATTTTACATTACACAGTAAAGACTGGACATGCATGCTAAAAAAAATCAATCAATCAAACAACGTAAAGCTTGCTGTACTAATGTGTTTAAGAAGCACCTACCAACAGCCAGACTGTTTTCCCCTTTTAATGCTTCTGGTCTAGCGAGATTAGTCATAACTAAACAGCATTAGTACTCACATAAACAGGCTAATAAATGACTTAGTTATTATATAATATCTAGAAAGTTACAAGCCATGTCAGATACGTTCTCAGAAACAATCAAATAACCTAGTTATTTAGCAATCTTTTTTTTCAAGCAAACAAAGTATAATGAATACTAGGTGTACTTCTGCAGGGTCCCCAAGTGTTCTGTTCTAACAGTAAATAAAACCAAAATTAATAAGAGTTACAAATATTTTTATTTTGAAGTTCACAAGTCATGCATAATTTTCGTGATTCATGGCATGCGCACATTTTACTGACGTCATTTTAATGTCTACTGACTGACTGACTGACAACACTACTGTGTAGTGGTGAGAGTGCTTACAACAGATGACCCCTCCAGGCAGCCTTCAGCCCCCCTTTCAGGGAAATTAACTTGTCATAACTTTTCTTTTTTTAAAACAATCTTACTCTTAATAATACTGGTTACATTAAGTTAACCCTTTCGTGATGGTCTCAGTATAAAATACAAGAGTTCGTATGCACATTTGCACATGTTAAAAGTTTTATACTGTAACTTTTAATGCAGTATGTATATCTTCACAAAATCTTCAAATATTATTAGTATAATCTCTAAAACCTCCTAAATACATTTCAAACGTTTGTTTTCAGTAAAACTTTATGTTTTGTCTGTTATTTTCTCTACCTTAATTATACAGGGTCTGTCAATTTGACCGACATTGTAACCACCATAAAAACATTAGGAAATAAATATGATTTTTTTTTCTAGAATGACTATAAATTATAACATGAAACACAAATGTTTAGTCTAAATAGCTTAAATCTCATAACATTTATATATTTTTATTATACTGACCTTACAGTCATGCTTGGTTAACATTACAGAAGTTGCAATGACACGACGCACATGCACTTGTGATACTGAATCCAATAATATAAAGCTGACCTTTACAAAGTGACCTGTGTTGGCTGTGTTTTAGTGGACCAGCATTTTGAAAAACAGTCTCATTTCAGTTATAATACATTATATATGTATTCACATTATTACTATTTACAAATAAGTTCTTAAACTTATTTTTCTTAAAACAAAAAAACAGTAAATAAAGAAGTCTAGCAAACAATTATATCTTCCAGTTACAAACTTTCTACTCGTTTGCTAAGCCTTATCAAATTTCGCACGTGGAGGATGTGAAACGAAATAATTTTTTTTAGGTTTTATATATATACATTTGAAATAACCAAAAATCATAAATCACTATACTGATACTAAAGAATTCCACAATAATTTATCAAACTTAGTAGATATGCTGTATTTGGGTCTAAAAATTTGAAATTTCAATCTCACCAAAGACGCACCTTGCCAACATGAAAATTTGTATCGAAAGAATTTATAGACATCGTAAAACCTGAAAATGGCTGGGAAAGCCACTAGGGGGATATTCTGAGCTTTTGATTGGTTATTCACATGTCATATACAGAAGAAAGTGCATGTAAGGGACCATTTCCAAAAATGGAAAGAGGTGAGTGAGGCTACTGTGTTTGATTTATTACATGAGCAATATCTCAGCAAATAGAAAAGATAAGACCTTCTTATTTTATATTCTAGCTTGTCAATATCGGTAATTTGAGTTTCTAATTTGTACGAAACTACAGACTTTGTATTTTGACATCACAAGCATTTAATTTGAACTAGCGCTGCATTCAACATACCACGTGACACACAAAAATCGATGTTTAGGTGTTTTTTAAATATTTACTTTTAAATTAACATATCAAATAATGTATAATACCAAAATTTGAATTATAATCTACAGTTTGATGCCAAACTTATTGACATAAATTCATAACATAGTAGTTAATAAAATTTTGAATGCAAGTCAGGAAACGCAATGACATGGCCTTTGACACATGGGGTTAAAGCTACACTGTTATTTAGATATAATAAACACGACCAACGGGCATCACTATGGGTAGTTATATAAGAAACAGCTACTAATCCACACCTGTAAGTCCCTGAACTGTGTACAAACAGAAGGCATGCACAGTGTCGTGCACATTCCTACCAATGGAAGTGGTAAATGTTCATATTATTTGGATAGATAGAATAATCGAAAACAGTAATAGCTGGAAACACTGACTTTGGTATAGTTGATTGTTTTCATGACATTTATCTATTTAACTGTTAATTTTGATCAAACAGTTATCTTACACGACACTACTTATGAAATTGATGCTCATGGGTAACGGACTATGTTGATTATCTGTTCAGATCCAATTTCAAAACCATATAACTGAGCATCTGTTTGGTATTACTAGCTCTAATCGCTTATAATTTTGGTTCACTTTTTCACTGACAGAGCCATAGCCAATCTGTCAGAATGATCTATTTGAATAACTTATGATGTATCGTGAGGGCATCAAACACTAGTGAATTACTTAATGATAGTCACAGACAATGCAGATTTTAATCTATTTGAATAACTTATGATGTATCGTGAGGGCTTCAAACACTAGTGAATTACTTAATGATAGCCACAGACAATGCATATTTTAATCTATTTGAATAACTTGTGATGTATCGTGAGGGCTTCAAACACTAGTGAATTACTTAATGATAGTCACAGACAATGCAGATTTTAATCTATTTGAATAACTTATGATGTATCGTGAGGGCTTCAAACACTAGTGAATTACTTAATGATAGTCACAGACAATGTAGATTTTACAAGATGGAAAAAATGCTTTAATTCAATAGTTTCATACCACAATACTATATACAATTCAACTATCATGCATGAACAGGAAATCTAGGCAGTGGTTATACATTGATGCCATTACCACTATACATGTATTTTGCTTGGTTTAATGCTTTGACTATTCATAATGTATAATAAAATATTTATAATACAAGTATTTATATCATATTTTGCAAATACTAGGATTCCATTACTAAATTACTTTGTATAATATGATGGATTTAATTTCTGAAGTTCAAGTTTTGGACCACTTTAATGAAAAAAAATTCATTAAAAATTAAATCCAACAGTCTGAGTTAGAAAGTAAAATTAAGTACTAATAGTAAGAAGTCCCAGAGAATCACAGTTTGCAGCCATGGAAGCGTATGAATACAAGATCACAGTTGTGAATATATAAATCTCCCATAATCAAAATACTTAAGCATTAAAGAAACTAAAATAACATGGTTATAATTCAAGTAAATTACTTATTAAATTATTGTAAACCAAACAACAAATGAAACGTGTCTATAGTACTATTACACGCAAAGTTTATTTCAAGGCAACCATACTCCCATTAGTTGTAAATCAGCTAAAATAAGATTGCCAAGATAGTTAAACTTTCTTTTGCCATTTTGCCAAGGAATGGGTGAACATTAGAACCTAAAACAGTGTCTGAGGTTGATGCTTGACCAATAAAGGTCAGTGATATCAAACGATAGCTCTCTTCATGTTCTACATTGGTCTGGGCTGGTGGGTTTTTTTTTGGGTATCCAGAAGCATTTTCTGATTTGAAAACACACAAACAAAACTTTAAATTTTTCATTGAATTTGAAAAAACAATCCCATACAATAAACTGTGTGATCTGTATTACATAATTCATAAACCGATATATACATATAGATACAAACACACGTCTGCCCAAATCAAATCAACAGCCTGTCAAAAAATGATGAATTGGAACTGTAGGCAGACAATAAATTACCTTGGCAACAGTTTGCTTTATGTCATTACCGGTACATATCTGTCAATCCTGATAACAAAATCTCTCCTTTACTTTAGTAGGTAAATATGCAAGTTTATACATGATTTTTAACATTTCGTTGTTGACAGTTTTCATTACATTTATCAATATGATATAAATTTATGTGTACAGGTTTTAAATTGATGTAATTTATTAGGGTTACATTTTATCTTACCTTGTCATAAGTTTCATGAAGTGTCTTAGGATACCAGGTAAAGCAATAATTTGATATCACTCAGAGAAATTTTATTAACATTGTTCCAATGAGATGGTTTCATTACACAAAAGGTCAATTTACAGGTACAATTACTAATTGTTTTTCATTAATTATTATACGCATAATTCAAATTGCAGTGTAAATCTACTAAACTGTAAAATCCAATGGTGTGTAAATTTTATTTTCACTATTTAAAAATCAACAATATTACAAAACTTTACAAAATATCAACCAGTATGTCTTTTCATTATTCAGTATAACTTTTCTCAAATCTGACTAACACTAACAGTAAGAATCATCATCAAAATTAATGTATTATATTTCAAATACTTAAAAATGTGTAGGCTTGATCTTTTATTAAAAGTTTTAATGAGCTTAGACTACCATATTAATAATGGCTGGAGACGGCTTAAATGGGTAATGAAGAAAAACTTTAGTATAAGTTTAACATGACAGCAAATGTACAACGTTTCGACAAGGTTTTGTCATCATCAGGTACCATATTACAAACATTTCACCTTAGATAAATCTTTGAAACGTAACAGAATCTAAGGTTATGAGATACAAGTACGTCCACATATCGAAATTTGGTATACTTATTATATAATATATTATTAGGCCTAGCAACGTTACTACTAGTATTAATGTTACTAGCCCCGTTTATTACACACCATCCGCTTCTCAACACTCAGAAGACTAAGACAAGTAGGCTTAAAAATCATTCACAGTTTAACTTTACAAGTTGTGAATGTAGATTTTTTCTTTCCTACCTGCATCTTTGTCCGTCATGCTGGCTCGCCTTTAATAAAGATTAAACGTGATAATTTTTGTGTGTGTATAACTTCCGAAACTTACTTATTACTAACGTAACTCAACACTAAACAATTCTACTTCACCGGCTATATCGCAACAAAGCCAATTGAATTTCAACATGGAACATGCGCAAGTATCTCGCGCCAAATCTTAATGACTTGTGGGTAGTTATTGACAAAAAAAAGTAAAGAAGGAAAGAATGTCTTGTGTCATTATTATAATTTTATTTAATTATCAGTAAAAATTTTGGGCCTTATAATACATTAGTAACTTATTTGCAATTTGAACTTTCTAAAATTTAAACACACCAATATGGTCGAAATTTACAAGCACTAATTGTTATAAAACGTAAATTATTTTATTATTACATCAAATAATTCTGGTAAAATGTTTAAGAAAGGCAAATTCATTGAAAAATACAATTTTAAGAGTTCAAAAACTTCATTTTGCGAAGAAAAATTCTTAAACACATTATAAAATAGGAAAATCCTTTGTGTTTAAATAAAATAGTGGAGATGTTGAAATTTTGATCTGTGGTGGGCACAGCACAAGATACCCCATCGTATAGTTTTGTTTGTACTTAAAAACAAACAAAAAACGAAGCTTGTGAAAAATAATAATCAAAAATTGAGTGCGATAAACATTAATTAATCTATAAGGCAATCTAGTAACAAGAGGAGTATCTCCACAAACAATATAATTACAATTTACAGATAATTATGTTATTGTCAATCAGGTCATTTTTCGAAACAATTAACAAAAAACAAAAAAAGCCATAGGGCCAAACTTAGGCAGTAAATTTTATTTTTATTTTTCGTTGAAAGTACTTTAGCATGTGATACGACATTAAAACTTGATTACAGACCCGAATTTTGAACGGGAAATATGTTATCTCGACATATTTTGCACAAATGATACTCTATTCAAATATTTAGTAATATTTTTTCAAAAGCTACTAATGCTATCTGTCGTTGTACCTAATTTGAAACAACTGACCAGAGGGGAGCCATCAACAGCACCCCACTACCTCCCATTCACGCTAGGGGATTGACTCTCGCTCTTATAACACACCCACAGTTTAAAATGCGGGTAATATTTTATGGTAGCGAACAGATTGGAACCTGGCTCTCAAACTCCGAGATCCAAAGCTCTACCATGGGGCTAAACTGAGCTCTGAAAAAAAAAATACTTTGTCATCATTATTTCTAATTTATATATTGAACTTAGTATGTAGAGCAGAAAGTATGTGATATTAATTCTTCATTGATGATTACAACTATTATTATTTGCTGCCATATATCATGTAGACTTCTTAAAACCGTTAACCATAAATGTTTTTATGTGCATCATAAATATTATTTATTCTTAATGAAGTTGAAATAATGATTACTTTCAAAGATGTTTATATATATATTTATGATGACCACTTGATAGAGCCTGGCATTACTTAATGGCTAGGACGCTCTACTCGCAACCTACCGGTAGCTGATTCGAAACCCATCACCAAACATGCTTGCCCTTTCAGCCGTGGGTGCGTTATAATGTGACTTTCAATTCCACTATTTGTTTGTAAAGTATAGTCCAAGAGTTGGCGGGGGGGTAGTGTTGACTAGCTGATTTTGAAAGACCGTGAGTTTCACGAAATAACATACAGATAACATGAGACGAGCTGGTCCCTCAAGATTGCCCTAGCTTGCACACTACCTACCTTGATAAAAGTAAAAATTTAAATCCACTCTTTATTTTTCAGGAAATTATCAGCTTCCCTCTTAAACTTTTGTAAAGTGCTTACTACACTGCTGATATCTTGTTTGTTTGAAGTTAAGCACAAAGCTACATAACGGGCTATCTGCGCTCTGCCCACCACGGATATTGAAACCCGGTTTCTAGCGTTGAAGTCCGCAGACATACGCTGTGCTACTGGGAGACGTTGTTCTCTTAAACTCTTGTAAAGTGCTGGTCACACTGCTGTCTTCTTAAACTCTTGTAAAGTGCTGGTCACACTGCTGTCCTCTTAAACTCTTGTAAAGTGGTGGCCACATTGCTGTCCTCTTAAACTCTTGTAAAGTGCTGGTCACACTGCTGTCCTCTTAAACTCTTGTAAAGTGCCGGTCACACTGCTGTCTGCGGCAGCTCAATCAACAAGCTATTCACCATATCAGAAAAAATAAAACTGTCTTAATTAGAGCCTGGTATGTCTTCCTAAAAATCTCAAATTTATATGTCCTATTTTATTTTTAAGATTTTATGCATCACGTTTACATGAAGCACCACACTGAGTTGAAAAAATCCAGTTGCATTATGTCACATTTAGGTCTTTTAACTATTCAAGAACCCATGGTTTCCTGAAACCGAAGTTATGATAGGATGTGGTTATTAGACCAATAGAAACATAATTTTGTCCTATATTAAAAGCTGAAGAATTCTCTTATTATATATACGGCTAAATTGATTGAATTTTTTTAACTTTTTAAATCGTATCAGGATGAATAATTATAAGACTAGGTTTAAATACATTGACTGGGGTTTGGAGTTCAAATATAATGCAGAAGACAAGTTTCTTGAGGTGATTCAGTGTGGTTTTCTATGTCAACTGCTCAGACGTTAGATTACCCATGGTAGGTTTGTGCTAAAACCCTTACTTAATATGTATTTTTTCAAATTTTCTGCTTTTTTTAGTTCAGTTTGTACATCGGAAGGTTTTCAAGTAAATAAATTGTAAATAGGGTTCTTGCTAACTTTGTCCGTGACTTTTTCCACTAATTGATAATTAACCGATTTTCTTGCAGGGAAGGCAGCAATTGATGTCCAGGCATAGTAAGCTGTCCAAAGATTTATGAACCATAGGCTTGTTTCCTCAAAAACACGCTATGAAATAAGAATGAGTTATGCTAAAACTAATTGAGTCTGTACTAAGAAATAAATGGAATTGACACCAGTGTTTCATGACACAATGAAACAACATCTATTTAAATAAAACAAAATAAAAGTGTGCATATATCACCTTTGGATGTTTACTTATAGTTTGTAGAGTTATTGAAATGCTTACCTATAGTTTGTAGAGTTGTTAAAATGTTTACATGTTGTTTTAGAGTTATTGAAATGTTTACCTATAGTTTGAAGAGTTGTTGAAATGTTTACATATAGTTTGTAGAGTTATTGAAATGTTTTCCTATAGTTTGTAGATTTATTGAAATGTTTACTTATAGTTTTTGAGTGTCATTAATTCTTACATAAGAAGGATGTTCACGTGGACGGTCTCCTAAGTGGAGACTTGTATGCCCATTGTGTAGTATTCCACATTTTTAACAGATGACACAATATATGAGGTTTTTTCGAAATGCATGTGGATGACTTTTGTATTTTCCATTAGGGTCAGATATGGATGTTGTGGTGTTAACATTATGTCAGGTGACGCATTTATTTCTGTGAGAACAAGATGTGTCTGAGTTCGCACTGGGTCTGGTTTCTGGATGATCCTCTGGACCAAACTCCTTTTGAAAATTATGTCATATCTGTAACTGACGAGTGGGCACTGGAGGTTGGTTTCAGTGTGATCCTCTGGACGTCAGTTACAGATATGACATAATTTTCAAAAGGAGTTTGGAGTGGGCTCTGGGGGATGGTTTCAGTGTGATCCTCTGGACCAAACTTCTTTTGAAAAATATGTCATATCTGTAACTGACGGGTGGGCACTGGAGGTTGGTTTCAATGTGACTATATGACATAATTTTCAAAAGGAGTTTTTATGTCATATCTGTAACTGATCGGGTGGGCTCGGGGGGGGGGGTTGGTTTCAGTGTGATCCTCTAGACCAAACTCCTTTTGAAAATTATGTCATATCTGTACCTGACGAGTGGGCGTTCATTAAAAATTTGGGAAGTTGTGGGTTCATCATTTAGGATATTGGAGTTTGTTTTATGCTCTGGACAACTTTAATTAAGATACCAAGTAAAGATAAGCGGTATTCGAGAGTTTGTATACTTAAGTTCTGGCTTTTAGTTCTATTCTCGGGTCACAGAATTGTCTCGTTAAGGGTAGGAATAATTAATAAAGAAATCCTTCATTTGTTCTTTGTACTCTGCAAAGTTCTCGAATTTTTAGGTATCGAGAATATGTAAGTAACTGATTTGTATGGTGCGGATGAGAAGAATCGTAGCGGACAAATATATGCATTTGTTTGTTGAATTTCGTGCAAAAATACCTAGGATTACTTACGCTATCGGTCCATAATTTGAAGTGATGGATAAGAGAGAAGATAGTTAGTCAACATCACCCACCGACAACTCTTGGGCTACTCTGTTACTAACGAAAAGTGGGATTGACCGTCATCTTATAATGCAGCCAAGGCTGCAAGGGTGGGCATGTTCGGTAAGGATCATTTTGTAATGGATTGATGTAGTGAAAATGTGAATATCTAAGAATGGTAAGTTCGTTGCGGAAACTGTCCATGTGAAGGAGAAAACAAATTGTAAAACAAATGTTTTCAGTTCATACAATAGCATGTTAGCCTCGTCAACAATGTCATCAATATAATGTTTGTAAAGAGTTGGAAGAGATCTTTGACAGGTGGAGAAAATATAATTTTCGACAAAATAATGAATAATAGAAAGGGACTATTTTAGTCCTCGTAGCAGCATCTTTCATTTCTTGGTAAAACTCATCATTAAAGAAAAACTCGTTCAGGGTTAATATAAGTTCAACATGGCGTAAGAAAGTAGGAGTTGGAGGGTATAGTGAAGAACGCATGTCCAGATAACGTTTAAAGGCGATCATACTCTCGTCATAAGGAATCGATGTATAAAGTGTTTAAAAGATAAATGTTTACCAACAGAAAACTGGAAGTTGTTGAAATTTTGGAGTGCAAGTTGTTGTTGTTTTTTCCTTTTATGCAAGGGGGAAGATATGAGACAATGTATTTGAGTACATCATTAAGCAAAGATAAAGTAAAGTAATGGAGCAGTTACAGGCGAAATAATTGTGGGACCAGGATTAGCCGGTTTATAGATTTTAGGAAGGCAGTTACAGGTGGAAATAATTGTGGGACCAGGATTAGCCGGTT